TGGACAGGACGGTCACACAGACAACTAAACAGGCAAGAGGACGCCCTGTAAACACTAGGTGACTGCTTGTTCCTACTGTGCAAGAGACTGGCTTGTGTGCTACGGTGTTTGCTGCTGGCCAGTACGGGGACCTTGGTCTGCTGCAACCCCCCTCATTATATGCAGAGCACCCACGTGGGCCCATCACACCTGCCCCACGGGGCTTTGGGAAGCTGGCAGTTACATGCTGATGTGCCTGCTGCCTGCTGTGCTAGCAGTCACAGACCCCTTCATCTCTGACCCAGGAGTCTTGTGTCCCCTGCCAGTATCCATGACATAGTAAGGTTCACTTCCTAGCTTGCAAGTAAGGTGAACCCGAATCTCAGGCCCTTTACAGTTCTTGCCATTAAGTAAGTGCCCTGCTCACCCCTCGGTGTTGGGCTTCAAGCTGGGTATGCGTGTTGGGAAGCAGTGTATCTTTTCCACCCAAATGCCCTTCCAGCCTTCCAACAAGGCCACCTCCTATTCAGCAGAAGGAGAGAGAGGACCACAGGGAAGGACACACGCAGCAATGGTAGAGGTCTCAGAGCCTCACACTCTACGCAGGCCAGTGAAGACTTTGGATTCCAACAGGGGCGCCCCCCATCCATATTCACGTATCATCAAGTCTGTGGCATTATTCTGAAAATACACTTCCTTTTGGAGTAAGAAAGAAGACACTCTGGTGAAAGCCACTTCTGTGGTAGAAGGAAAGCCATGTGTGATTTGGAGAGCATAAGCTTCAATGAACATCCTGCTTAATGACACAGAGAACAGAATATTCCTCTCAAAGGAAAAGAGCGAATCCAGAAACAATGCCTGACATTTCTGATCAGTTGATTTTGACAAGGTTGCCAACATGATGCGGGAAGAATAGCCTTTAAACAAATGTTGCGGAGGCACCTGGATATCTACAGGCAGAAGAATAGTGCTGGGCCCCTCCTTCACACCACATACAAAAATTACCTTGAAATGGATCAGAGACATAAATGCAAGGGATAGAACTACAGGACTTGTAGAAGAAAATATGCAAGCCAATCCTTGGGACTTTGGGTTGAGCAATGGTTTCTTAGAACACCAACAGCAAAGAAAGAAAGAACGAACGGAGGGAAGGAGGGAGGAAGGAAGGAGGGAAGGGAAGGGAAGGGAAGGAAAGGAAAAGAGAAAGAAAAAATAGATTAGTTGGGTGTCATCAAAATTTAAAAATTTTTGTGCTTCAAATAACACCACAAGAAAGTGAAAAAAGGCGAGGCTGTAGAAAAATTGGAACCTCTATGCATTGCTGGTGGGCACAAAAAATGAGGCAGCTGATGTGGAAAACAGTATGACAGTTGCTCAGCCAACGACACATTGAGTTCCTGTATGATCCCGCAATTCCACTTCCGGAAATATACCCAGAAGAATAGAAAGCAGAGGCTTGTACACCTATTTGCGGACTTGTGTTCACAACTCACAATGGCCAAAAGGTGGAAGACCTAAGTGTCCACCTATGAATGAATGAATAAACCGAATGGGGAATATACATCCAATGGAGTATCATTCAGCCTCAAGGAATGGAATGCTGGGCCCTGCTACAGTGTGGACATCACCTTGAAGACAGCAGGTGGAGTGAAAGAAGTCACAAAAGGATAAGTAGTATAGGATTCCACTTTTTACAAAAAGATTTATGTGTTTATTTGAGAGGGAGAGATTGAGCGAGCATGAGTGGAAGGGACAGAGGGAGAGGGAGAGAGAAGATCTCAAGCAGATTCTGCACTGAGCACAGATCCCAATGCGGGGCTGGATCCCTTGACCCTGAGATCACCACCTGAGCTGAAACCAAAAGTCGGATGCTTCCCTGACGGGACCACACAGGTGTCCCGCTGTAGGATTCCACTTGTATGAGATACCTAGAGTACTCGAAGTCATAGAACTGCAGTGGCATGGTAGTTGCCAGGGGTGAGGGCAGAATGGGGACGTACGGTTTAATGGATTTAAAGCTTCAGTCTGGGAAGTTGAAGTTCTGGAGATGGCTGGTGCTGACCTTTGCACAGCAATGTGAATGCATTTCATGCTGCTCAACTGTACATTTGGAAAAGGTTACCGTGGAAAATTCTGTATTATGTGCATTTAAAAAAGAAAGTGAAACCCAGAAAATGGGAGAAAATTGTTGCAAATCATATAGCTAATGAGGGTCTTGTAACCAGAATACAAGGGTCTCCTCCTATCCATCTTATTCCAAGACCCCCCCACTAGATGCCTAAAATTGCAGACAGTCCTGAAATTATATATACTATACTTTTTCTTCTACATACACACTTCCGATAAAGCTTAATTTATAAATTAGGCACAGTAAGAGCTTAATAACAACAACTACTAATAAAATGGGACAATTATAACAATGTAGTGTGATAAAAGTTATGTGACTGTGGTCGCTCTCTCTCAAAATATTTTGCTGGATTCACCCTTCTTCTGCTGGTGATGTGAGGTAAAGTGCCTGCATGATGGGATGTGGTGAGGGGAATGACGTCAGCACTGTGACGTAGCTTTAGGTTCCCACTGACCTTCTGACCATGGGTCTACTGCTTCCAAACCATAGCTGACCCCAGGAACTAAAACCACAGAAAGTGAAACCCTAGATAAGGTTTACTGTATACAAAGAGCTCTTATGACTCGACAATAAGACAAATAACCCAATTTAAAAATGGAACAATGATTTGACTAGCTGTTTCTCAAAAAAATCTATATAAATGGCCAAGAAGCACACAAAAGATGTTTGTTATTAATCATCAGGGAAATGCAATCCAAAAGAGGAGCTACCACTTCACACTCCCTAGAAGGCTATACTCAAAGAGTCAGGTGTTGGTGCCAGCGTTGGTGAGGATGTAGAGAAGCTGGGTGGAATGCAAAACAGGGCAGCCGCTTTGGAAAACAGGTGGGCAGTGCCTCGAAACGATAAGCGTTTCGGATGACCCAACAACTATACGCCTGGGTATTTACCCAAGAGAACTGAAAACCTAAGGGCCCGTAAGAGCTTGTATATAAAAGTTCATAGCAGTACTATTCATCATAGCCTGAAAGTGGAAACCACTCCAAGGTCCATCCCCTGAGGGATGAACAAAGTAGGACACAGCCACACAATGTGACATCACTTGGCCGTAAAGCAGAATGAAATGTTGTCACATGGTACAACATGGGTGAACCCTGAAAGTATTATGCTAAGTGAAAGAAAACAATCTCAAAAGGCCCCATATTGTATGATTTCAGGCAAATGCATACAGAAAGAGTTTGAGGCTGCCAGGGGCTGTGTGGAGCAGGGAAGGAAGAGGGACCGCTAAGAGGTCTGGGGTTCCCTTGCATCACTACATGAATGTACTAAAAACAATTACAACTTCATCTGCCTTTATCAAGGTGAATCTTCTGTATGTGAATTGTAGCTCAGTAAAGCACTTATTAAAAAACCCTGCTCAAGCTCTGACTAGCTGTCGGACCCTGGGGAAGGCATCAAGGGCTCCGAGCGCAAGTTTTCTTATGGATACCTGGGGGATATCTCTCTCCCAAGAGGGCTATAAGACTCAATGAAATGACCCATTTTAAAGTGCTTTGTAAGCTGCGAAACTCAACAGAAAATTTAGTTAATATTTGCATTTTTTAAAGAGCTCTGTTGCCAATAGGACTGAAAGTCCTTGTTTCCTAGTAAAGGAATTTTTTTGTTTCACAGCTGGGGAAAGTGTCCTGGCACTAGCCTGAAGTAGGACAGATGGTTCCCAGTTTGTGTCTGCTTCAAATGTTGCCATTCCATCGTACTCCTCTTAACCCATGTTACTTAAATCGTTTCAGTTCTGA